CACACCCCACCTAGATCTCACACACCTCATCTACAGCCCACACACCCCACCTACATCCCACACACACACACACGCCACAAACTCTTAAACTAAAGAACAGTCTGGTTTGAAATCCCACTGACAAGGACTGTCTTATCCCACTTGAACCTTCTGTCAATCTGGGTCATGTCACAGTCCATAATTAATTCAAACACTTGCTGTATTCTGCCAGTAGCTAGGAGATGCCTTGCTGCGAGGGGAAGTTGGATTAGTGAGATGGGATTATATTAAAGGCTCTTTAATGAATTATGTCATTTCATCTGTGGTTATTTTTTCTGACTCCGGAGAATTCAGTTTTGTGATGTTCATTCTGGTATGTATTTATCTTCATTAGCATCATCATCATCATCATCATCATCATCATCACCATCATCACTACCAACTCTACTACCATACCATCGCCATTAGCATCATCAAAAAGAGATTCAACAATGTGAATTACAACATTTGCTTATTCTCTTAACTTGTTATGACTGACGCAGCGTCTGTGGTTTAAGAGTTGCGAACGCGCTTCGTAATGCTGAGGTGCGGGGTTTGATCCCAGCTGCGGGCCATGCGCCTTGCGTTGGTTTCGACAGGGGTATCAATAAGCCGACCGTCTAGGAAGCAATGGCAAACTACTAGACATAAATCTGCAGAACCAACCACAACAGCTAAAAAAAATGCTGTGGTTGGTTCTGCAAGGTCCTGTAAAGGATACACAACTAACCTTTATGTTATGACTGACAGCGACACAAATTCAGTTTCAGTTGATCATTTCAGTTTTCGGTTATTAGGAAGCTCCCCTACCCACGCCTATTGTTTGTGTCTACACGCTTGTGCATAGACACGCTGGGCCGTTGCCATGTGGACACTAAGCGTGTAAGGATCCCAGGGATGTAAGAACATCAGGAGTATAAAGACTCAGGGGTGTAAGGACCCTAGGGTGTGAGGACCCCAGGGTTTAAGGACCCCAGGTGTGTAAGGACACAGAGTGTGAGGACACCAGGTGTAAGGACCTTAGGTGTGAGGACCATAGGGTGTAAGGACCCCAGGTGTGTAAGGACCCAAGGGTGTAAGGACATAGGGTGTGAGGACCCCAGGTGTAAGGACCCCAGGATGTGAGGACCCCATGTGTAAGGACCCCAGGGTGTGAGGACCCCAGATGTAAGGACACATGCTGTAAGGACCCCAGGGTGTGAGGCCCCATGTGTAAGGATCACAGGGTGTGAGGACCCCAGGTGTGTAGGGACTCCTTGGTATGAAGACCCCAGGGTGTGAGGACCTCAGGGTATAAAAACCCAGAGTGTAAGGACCCCAAAATTGTAAAGACCAAATGTAAGGACCCCAGGTATGTAAGGACCCGGAATGTAAGGACCCCGAGTGTAAGGACCTCGAGTACAAGGACTCCAGGGTGTAAGGACCCAGAGTGACAGGATCACAGCGTGTAAACACCCTAGGTTGTAAACACCCAAGTGTTTAAGGACCCCATGGGTGTAAGGACCCCGTGAATGTAAGGACCCAAAAAGTGTAAAGACCCCGTGGGTGTAGGGACTCCAGGTGTGTAGGGACCCTGGTTTTTGAGGACCTTAGAGTGCAAGGAACCCCATGTGTATAAGTACTCTAGGTTGTAAGGACCTCAAGTGTGTAAGAAGCCAGGACCCCAGTGTGTAAGGACTTTAGGGATAGAAGGACCCCGGGTATAAATGCCCCAGGGATAGAAAGACCCTAAGTATAAGGACCCACGGTTTAAGAACCCCAGGTAAAAGCACCTAAGGGTGTAATGACCTCATAAATAAAGGCGACACTTAATAATCTATACCGGAAGCAGAAATGGAATCAAATGTCCCTATCACCAGTCGCAGCTTCCAAATTTTTATCAACAGCACTTGACCAATAATCGTAAAACGCAACTAATTGCCTGAAAATCGGATATATTCAACACCGAATAGGCAAATAGCCTAGCTGTAACCCGCAATACATAGTTCTCTTTGTCTGTTTAGGTGCAAATGATGCAGAAGAAGAAGAAGAAGAAGAAGAAGAACAACAACAACAACAACAACAACAACAACAACAACAACAACAACAACAACAACAACAACAGGAACAACAAGAACAAGACTGGTAAACAGCGAACACCCCCTTCCCCCCCCCCTCCCCTCAAACACACACACACAGACACACACACACACAGACGCACATGCACATTAAAGCAAAAACGACACATTGACTATACAAGGAGTATAGCACACACACACACATATACACACAGACGCACCCACACATTAGAGCAATAACTAATCCCCCCCATTTCCCTCACACACTATCTCACACACACACACACACAGATGCGCCTGAACATTGAAGCAACAACCACACATTGACGATACAAGGAGTGTAGCACACACACACACACACACATACACATAGACGCGCCCGCACATTGAAGCAACAACCACACATTACTGATACCAGGAGTGTAACAAGCCACTCTCCCAGGCAAACGTTAGAAAACTCTTCAGCCTGTGACGTCGTAGCCTGACTTGTGATACAACTCACGTCTACGGCATGTTTTAATTGAGGGCTTCCTGTAGGTACAGGCCTGAGCAAACAGAAGTTGTAGATTTTGCGAGGCGGCGCCTCACGACTCTTGCTTTCCACATTAAGAACTTTACAGGTATGGGTTGTGACAAATAAGTCTTCTTCTTCGGTTAGTTCGACGTTTGCTCTGACTGGTAGTTCCTGAGCCTCGGTAATGCCGTTGATATTGCGTGCTGTATATTTCATCACTCCTGCGCTTTTAACATTCCGAAAATATGGAGAAACTGGGTCTAACACACAACTCCCTTAGAAAGTGCTGCAAACTATGTCACAGGTATTCTCTTTCTCGGAATAAAAACGTAAATGCAAGACATCGCAGAAACCAAACAACAGAGTGGGACACACCCGTAACATTCAGGGAAGTCGACCAGCCCAACAAACTTGTGAATGAAAAGTGACCTACTCTATTTGGGGAGACTAACGTCGAACTAACGTCTTCTTCTTCGCGTTCATTGGCTCTAAACTTCATAGGGAAAGTTCTGGTTGTTCGTCCATGTCCTTACTTTAGACTTGTTCTAGAACCCGAGCTTTGCGTGCACAATCGTTTTACAGATCTCTAAGATTGCTTTTTTTTGGGGAGGGGGGGGGGCGTGGGGGGGGGGTGGGGTGGGGTGGGGGATTTTCGGGAAAGTCTCAGAGTATAGAGGTGTTAGGGTTAGTTTTAGTGTAAGTCGGCGTTCATTTCACACGAACAAACGAAAGTAACTCTTACTAAAAATGACGACCCAATATACGCCGAAATCGCTGAAAAACAACCAACATATTTACGCAGAAAGAAAGATAGTTTTACAGTCGTTCACGCAAAAAAAAGTTACACACGTTCATGTGAAAGACAGTTTTCGCCTGTTGGTAGACCTGTTAAACACATTTCCTCGCACACTGTGTGAACACCGAACCAAGTCATGTCATAACATCCCCAAAATATGGAAGGCAGTTCCCGGGAATTTCAAAGGCCCCGAAAGGGGTGAAAAAAAAAGAAAAGAACTGACTAATTTTTATGCAGATTGTTAGTTCCTTGCCTATCAGGCACGTGCACTCCAACTTCGAAAGACTCACCCAAAATTAGTTGACTCTTACGACATGCTTGCTAGGGGTCAGGGGTGTATTATTGTTTCCCACAAACTGGGGCCCTGGAACCCAGACTGTGAGACAATGATGGAAGTCAACAGTTTCAGGGGGTGAAAGGCGAAGGTATCGTAGCCTAGCTATAATTAACAGCGCATAATACCAACCGCTCTTTTAAGAGCTTACCCAAAAGAAAGGGGCGGGGGCGATGTCAGGGCTGGGTGAGAGAGAAAGCAGAGCAGTGCAACACACTTCCCTTGGAGATCGTACTTTGGAAACAGGACATGAGCGAGATTTGTATAGTAACTAAATCAGAGTGGTGCTAGCTTGTTCTGAATGAAGACCACATAAACATCTATACGTAGGACTGTGAACTAGAACTTAGAGGATTGACAGCAGCCCAGCAGACACAACTGTCAACCAACTAATCAATCGTTTAAGCAAAACTTACTTGCTTATCCTATTTTTGATGTTGCAGAACCTTCCCCAGCATATGTTGGCTGCTGTTGTTTTTGTAGGCAAATTTTTACGTTTGTTAGTTTGCCGTTGCCTTCTCAACGGTCAGCTCTCGGTACAATTGTCGAAACCAACGCAAGACGTTCATCAGCCAAATCGCTCCCAGCTGGGATCGAACCCGGCATCCCGGTATTATGAAGCGTGTAATCGCAACGCCTTGGCCAAAAACTTTGACCAATCATACAAGCAGTGGCCAATATAGTAATGCACTAATCGACCACACAACCAACCACACAATCAAACAAGTAACTGACCAATCACACAACGAAAGAAATTTGCGACCAAAAAGTCAACTAGATAACGGACTTACCAAACAACTAAAGAAACCTATACAGAAACACTCAATCATCTTACGGACCAATCAGAGAAACAAAGAAACTTCCAACCTATCATTCAACTGGTTTTCTGACCATTCACTCAACGAAATAAAAATCCAACAAATTGTTAATCTAACTAACTGGCCAATGAAACAACTGCTGTGAAAAAAATTCAACCAACTAACTGACCAATTATACAATTAAAGAAAATATTCATATAATCAAACAATCAACCAACAAATTGACCATTCGGACATCTTAAAATACTTTTAATCAACAAAACTAATTGATCAGTCAAACAATTTAGAGAAACTTCCGACCAGTCAAAAAAAAAAAAAAAAAAAAAATCACCAATCATACTGATCAATCAGACAGCCAAAAGAAGCACTAAATCTCAGCCAACCTACCAACCAACCCTCCTATTGTTTTTCATCTTTAATTCTCAGTAATGTTATTTTTTAAACGATATTTACAGACTGAACAATGGAACTGGATCCATCAACTGTGACTCAGTCAGACTTGGATAACTACTTTATGAAAACCGCATTATGGCCGGCGATTGTGTACACTACAATCTTAATGATTGTAGGGACAGTTGGAAACATTTTAGTTCTCTACGTGTACCGACGCCATTTTCAGCGAAGTGTGACCCGGATGTTTATCTACGCCTTGGCCGTCCTTGACCTCGGGAATTGCTTGATCACCATGCCGGCAGAGTTGTCTATCCTGATTCAGTTTACTACATTTCCGTCGCCGGTCTGGTGCAAGGTCAGCAGGTATCTCACTTACACCTTCAATGGGACAAGTTCAATTGTTCTCATCACAATTGCCATGGACAGGTGAGTCATTCTTAGTCCCGATCTTCCTCTTCTGTTCTTTCCATCTACTTAACACATATTTTTCTTATTACTGTCTTTTTAAAAGGAGTTGCCGCCTAGTTTGGACTAGGCATGACAGAAAGTTTAGCTTCAACGTTATTTTTGCTTCTGACAGCGCTTTGCTAATGCAGTTTCCTCGTGTGGACGAAAATATACGGTTTCGCTGCTTGAGCTACTGAGTTAAGTACTTAGTGCAGCACTGGAAGCTGTGGTTTTCGTGTGGAATGCCTTTCATTTGTGCAGCGTTTGAGTCGTAATATTCAATATGGCCTGTAGCCGGTGTACGTGTAGGTTGTCAAAATACTGTATCTAATAATTGTGCGTTCGTATAGCCAACTTGCCATGACCAACTATCTCTATCAACAACAAACTGTATTTCTGATGTCGACTGTTGGCTTGGGTGCCTTTAGAAACAGTCTTATGCATTGACTGTGTGCCAAATTTATGGATTTTGCCGAGACTAATTGTTTGTTCTCCAGTTTTAAGTGAGAGACACTTCATGTAATTTTCACTGGCACAGGATCGGAGCAAGTATGAGTGACCCGACTGCACTGAAGTTGAAACCCTGACAACGACTGTCATCTTATACAGTTCATCTGTAGTCTGTTCGCCATATTTACTAATGACGGTGTAACCTGGGGCAAGTCCCCGATTTTCTGAAAAGGTGGGGGGTAGGGGTAGGGGGGGACTAAAGCTGAGCTAGCTCCCCCTCCCCCTTCCCCAATCCAACAAAGATGCAGTCCCTCACCACCCCTACCTCGACTAGAAAATGTGTAGGGGGAATAGGTGATCCCCCACACCCTCCCCTTTCCCCCACCCCATCACATATAGAAAATTTGTTTTTTAAGTACACCGTTTAATATATTTCATATTATTTCAAATGTATGCTTATATTTATTTACTTTTCATCAAATAATAATAATAATAAGTATTATTTTATTATTATTATTGCACAGTAACACAAGGCTTAAGCGAGGCGTTCCGCACCCTGTAAAATTACAATAAGCCTACCCCCCCCCCCCCCCCCCCCTCAGCGTTTTTTTTTGTCTTTCTGTGTGCCGGCACCCTTGGTACACGCCTCTGTCTCTGCTTATCTTCTCCCCGCCTATTTCCCCATTTTTTTTCTGTCCTTAGCCGCGTGGTTTCAAAGTTAAAGACATAATAATTGTTATAGCCATATATATATATTTATATGTGTGTGTGTGTGTGTGCGTGTGTGTGTGTGTGTGTAATAGCTATTTTCAGCTGTACTCAATGTGTATGCTATCCAATGCCAGCGTCTTTTCCTCACCTCTTGTCTTTGTTGAGTTTGTTCTCTCCTAAAGTTCCACACTAGAGATTTAATATAATTCAGTTCCGTCTATCCTGCGGGAACCGCCCGGGTGTAGTGACTAGATGCTCGCCTGCCGTTCCGAAGATCGTGGGTTTAAATCCGTGGCTCCCAGGTGTGTCCAGCCTTAAATGCGTACCAGGTAAAGTAATGGAAAGTAAAGGCGGCCGGCGGGATGTCGACCACATCACCCAACAAGCGCCGATTGTTCTATTAAATATAGGTCTAGCTATGTATGCCCAATAAACCTGAAGGCGTGAAAATGGATTCTTTACATTAACTTTTGTCTTGTCTATGTGCCAGTTCATGATGGTTGTTTAAGAGAGCTGGCTGTTCCAACAGTGGGAAAAATGCGTTGCATTGCTGACTTCATAGTGGTTTGTGGTCTTTTTCATAGTGATTTGTGTTCTTTTTCATAGTGGTTTGTGGTCTTCCTCATAGTGGTTTGTGGTCTTCTTCATGGTGGTTTGTGGCCTCCTTCATAGTGGATTGTGGCCTTCTTTATAGTGGATTGTGGCCTTCTTCATAGTGGTTTGTGGTCTTCTTCATAGTGGTTTGTGGTCTTCTTCATAGTGGTTTGTAGCCTTCTTCATAGTGGTTTCTGGCCTTCTTCATATTGGTTTGTGGTCTTCATGGTGGTTTGTGGCCTTCTTCATAATGGTTTGTGGTCTTCATAGTGGTTTATGGCCTTCTTCACAGTGGTTTGTGTCCTTCTTCATAGTGGTTTGTAGCCTTCTTTATAGTGGTTTGTGGCCTTCTTTATTGTGGTTTGTGGCCTTCTTTATTGTGGTTTGTGGCGTTCCTTCATAGTGGTTTGTGACCTTCTTCATAGTGGTTTTTTCCTTCTTCATAGTAGTTTGTGGCCTCCTTCATAGTGGATTGTGGCCTTCTTTATAGTGGTTTGTAGCTTTCTTCATAGTGGTTTGTGCCCTTCTTCATAGTGGTTTGTGGTCTTCATGGTAGTTTGTGGCCTTCTTCATAGTGGTTTGTGGTCTTCATAGTGGTTTGTGGCCTTCTTCATAGTGGTTTGTGTCCTTCTTCATAGTGGTTTGTGGCCTTCTTCATAGTGGTTTGTGGCCTTATTTATTGTGGTTTGTGGCGTTCCTTCATAGTGGTTTGTGGCCTTCTTCATAGTGGTTTTTTCCTTCTTTATAGTGGTTTGTGGTCTTCTTCATAGTGGTTTGTGGCCTTCTTCATAGTGGTTTGTGGTCTTCATAGTGGTTTGTGTCCTTCTTCATAGTGGTTTGTGGTCTTCTTCATAGTGGTTTGTGGCCTTCTTCATAGTGGTTTGTGGTCTTCTTTACAGTGGTTTGTGGCCTTCTTCATAGTGGTTTGTGGCCTTCTTCATAGTGGTTTGTGTCCTTCTTCATAGTGGTTTGTGTCCTTCTTCATAGTGGTTTGTGGCCTTCTTCATGGTGGTTTGTGGCCTTCTTCATAGTGGATTTGTGGCCTTCTTCATAGTGGTTTGTGGCCTTCTTCATAGTGGTTTGTGGCCTTCTTCATAGTGGTTTGTTTTCCTTCTTCATAGTGGTTTGTGGTCTTCTTCATAGTGGTTTGTGGTCTTCTTCATAGTGTTTTGTGGTCTTCATAGTGGTTTGTGTCCTTCTTCATAATGGTTTGTGCTCTTCTTCATAGTGGTTTGTGGCCTTCTTCATAGTGGTTTGTGGTCTTCTTTACAGTGGCTTGTTGCCTTCTTCATAGTGGTTTGTGGCCTTCTTCATAGTGGCTTGTGTCCTTCTTCATAGTGGTTTGTGGTCTTCTTTTTTGTGGTTTGTGGCCTTCCTTCATAGTGGTTTGTGGTCTTCTTTATAGTGGTTTGTGGTCAGAACAGACACACTGGCTTGTGGCCAACTTCACAGGGGGTTTGTGTTCCTCATGGTGACTAACTGGGACTTCTCTTTAGAAATATGTGTGTCCTTTTTCATAGTGGTTTGTGAGCCCTTCTTCATTGTGGTCAAATCATAGTGATTTGTTCTTTATTGTAGTGCTGTGGCCTTCCAACATTGTGGTTGTGGCGCTTCTTCATAGTGGCGTTTGTGTCCTTCTTCATTAGTGGTTTGTGGTCCATAGTGGTTTTTCCTAATAGTGGTTTTGTTCCAGATGCATAGTGGACCTTCATAGTGGTTTGTAAGTCTTTTCAATGGTTGTCTTTTCACATCAAAACTATTGGTAAGGAGAACAAGTAGAATTGAAGAACCTAGTGCAGTTGTAATTAGTCATTTTTGAAACCGTTGGGTTCTGGGGCCCTGTTGTGAGGGAAAACGAGAACAGACCGACTGCAACTCCCTAACAGGAAGTCCTCAGGGTGGACGTCCACTGGGGCACTGTTACTGTGAGCTCCAGACAAACTTGACCCACTTGTATCCAAACAAAAATCTGACTTGTTGATGTGCTAACTGTTGGTTCCTTGCCTCATCTGTATGCATCTAAACTTCGAGAAAGACCAGACCCCAAAATAAGTCAGATTTGTCAAACGGATGCTCACGCAACACTCGGGTACTGGCGCAAGACTAAAGTCCAGAATTGGACGAACAACCAGAAGTTTCCGATAGAGTTTTCCGACACAGGGGTGACAATCCTGTCTGGGACAACTGATCTCGTGAACTCGTCCAAATTTCCGAGCCCACTGGCGACTTCGGGTAGACCCTTTGCCGAGAGGCTAATCCAAGTAACGCTACCAGCTGTAAGTTCAACAGCTGGTACTTCTTCAAGACCTAATGGAGGTAGCAGCTATGTGGTGTATGGTCGGTTTTGTTTGCTGAGCTCAGAACACATCACCGGGAAACTGCCGCTGCTGTTTTATGTTTTTATATTTATTATGTACATGGTCATGGTGGTGCTTGTGGTGTTTTTCTATGGGAAAGTGGCCAGGGCCATGTTCTCACTAACCTCCAAACATTCCAAGATGTTTTCATTTTACACACACAAAAACTGCACGCCCTCGTCTAATTCTGTGAACCCAGATGTCAGTATTGGACAGTTTCAGGTTGCTGGGTCAAAGGTCAATGAGGATGAGGTCACTTCTGCAGATCATCAGACTAAACAAAAAAGTTCTGTCGTAGTTAGCTCTACAATTTTGGGCAAAGAAGACAACAAGGTGAGGACCAATAGCCATATAAAATCTAACAATAGCCAAACAGGTAAGGAAAGAGAACAAAGGGGAGATAAGATAGCTACTGGGGAAAGGGGTCCCAGAGAAACTGGATACGAAACAGGAGATACAACTTCCAATAGCGAGGCTAAAGCTGAAACACCTAACATGGGTACAGAAAACAAAAACAAAGAAGATGTCTCAACAGAAGTTTGTAGACACGGAAATTCACAGACTAGGAGTAAAACAACAGATTTACTCAGTAATACAAATACAAATGTAGATAAAATAAATATGCGTCAAAAAGACAATGATTTACAAAATACTCGTTCTCAAAAAGCACATTCCTCTTATGATATCGACCCAAAAATACTAGTAAAGGATAAAAGAAGACGGACAACGATTACCAAAAACAACAACGAAACAAACAAAATCCCGAAAATAAAAATTCAAAAAGCAGATAGAGAAAAATATGACTCGGATCAGGAGATCAGCAATAAACAGAAGCCACCCCTAGGGTCCTATCCCCTCAACACAAACAGTTTATTGAGAAGGAGAATTCAAAGTGCGGAAAATATTCATCACATTTCTAGTCTTCAAATGCTTCAAGTTCCAGAGGCACGACTCCGGATGCCATGGTTCCCCGACTTGTGTGAGCCGGGAAACTCCCTCAGCCTCTCTAAACAACAATCTCGCCGAGACAACATTTCCGGTATCGGACACGTGACAGCAAGTAGCGTGAGTCTAGATTATACAGCAGACAGCTCAAACTCGACTTCCGTTGCAGAAAAGATGTTGACGATGACTAAAACGTCATCCTTGGGGAAAACAATGTGTGTTTTACCGCTCAGGGGTATGACCACAAAAACCGCAACTCAGGCACAAAAACACAGACATGCATCTACGATAGAGAACATCACCACTTCACAGTCATTTTTGATTCAAGATAAGAACTGTAATGTCTCCAAATCCGATTCACGATTGGACGTGGGCCAAAGATGTGATGAAGGAAATCTTGCAGTCAGAGCCACCCCTTTAATTCTAAATTCCCCAGATGGTCTAGATTCTGTAGTTACACTTCGACATCCTACCCCCAAAAGCGCCTCACTGCCAAACGATTTCCATAAACAACTCAATTTTAACGTTTCCACCAGAACGCCAAGGAAGGAAGTCCCCAGCACGGCGGACATCCTCCAAGAGCAACACAGAAAAGGCTCGCTGCATCCTTTTAGAATGAGCAGGATGCTATTTGTTATCTCTCTTGTATTTGTTATCAGTTTTCTCCCCTTCTTTATCATTGCCTTGATGAGGTCCTGTATGGGGTTGTCGTTTATGGCGTTGAATGAGGTCCAGCTGGGGGTACTGAGCGTCTTCATTCGATCCTCCTTACTCAGCAATGCAGTTAATCCCGTGGCTTACGGTTTCTTGAGCACTCACTTCAGAAGAGAATGCACCGGAATCATGTGTTGTGTTTTCCGTCGCTAGTAGAAATTTGAAAACCATAGACCAAGAAGAAAAGAAATACTGGCATCCTAAAGGTTCTACATGACCTTAACATCGAGGAGAACTGGCCCGTAAACATCCTCTCAGGAAAGTTGAGGTATTATGGACATATCAAGCGCCTCGATATTCTGGAGAGTACGGTGATGGGGGGTGCAGTTTCCAGAAAAAAAAACAGAGGCCGACCTCCCCGAAGGAGGTTATGAAAGCACACCTGGCTAGAGAATTATCTAGAGAAAGAGAGACTTTCAGCAGTGCACAGTGAGGAGAGCGTCGTTCTGTAAAGAACATACTAATTGATGAAAAGATCTCAACGAAAATTGGCAGGTACACAGCATCTTGTCTGGGAAACTGAAGAACAGTGACAATATCAAAATTTTTGATGCTTTGGGAAATATCAGTAGTGTAGGGCGCGATACCAGTCAAGAGGGGCAGAAACCCAGCGTCTACACTTTCTTCCAAATGGTGTCTAGTCCTGTACTGAACAATTTCGAATCAAATGTAAGATTTTGTACCAGAGTTTACACTTTCTTCCAAATGGTGTCTAGTCCTGTACTGAACAATGAACAATTTCAAATCAAATGTAGGACTTTGTACCAGCGTCCACACTTTCTTCCAAACTGTGCCTGGTCGTGTACTAAACAATGAACAATTTCAAATCAAATGTAAGATTTTGTACCAGCGCCTACACTTTCTTCCAAATGGTGTCTAGTCCTGTACTGAACAATGAACAATTTCAAATCAAATGTAAGATTTTGTACCAGCGTCCACACTTTCTTCCAAATGGTGTCTAGTCCTGTACTGAACAATGAACAATTTAAAACCAAGGATTTGGTACAGGCTTTGACATTGACTCTTAAACCTCACCTATTATCTAAAGGATGCTGAACAAAGGAAGAGAAAAACAACAAAAGAGGATAACGACTCTTACCAGAACACTCGCATTGGTAGCAGAACAAGCGGGCACACACGTGCGGTAATTGTTTCAATCTCTATGAACATACATTAGAAAATTGCTTCAGGGAGTCCAAATGGGTAGAAAGCATTCGAAAGTCGCAGTTAACCTCTATCATCTGGATCTACACACTTGGGCACGCAGAAGTAAATGGTAATGAAAGAGCTGACCAGCTGGCAAGTAATGCACCAATGCAAACGGGAAGAAGCATGGGCAGAGCTGATACTATCAACGCTGTTCCGACTAGGTTGTAGGATAATGACGAATATCTGACGCTAACATGACTGCGTGACAGAAGAGTTAAGCTTGGTGAAGCACGTCTATGCAGTCTTCGAGGTGAAGACAGGAGACACTAAGAACAACTCGTCATGGGAACAGTCAGTAGAGGTACTTTGGAGTGGCTGCTGCGTCGAAGGACTGGGCAGGCATAGTGACGCTATTGGGGAAAGACGTCGATTGTGATAACATAGCATAACATTGCCTGTTGTCCAATACTTTTATACAGTTAGCATTGCTTATATGATATTTGTTGCCTAGCTATTTTAATGTTATCAATACATTTGATTTTTCTATCTTTACCATGCGCCTCTGCGAATATGTGCCTATATGTGTATTCTTGTGTCGCTGTATGTGCCTTTATATGTATACTCGTGTCCTTATGTGTCTCTATATGTTCCGATGTGTCGCTGTATGTTAAAGTGTGCCTATACGTCTCTGTATGTGTCTATATGTCTCTGTATGTGTCTATATGTCTCTGTATGTGTCTATATGTCTCTGTATGTGTCTATATGTCTCTGTATGTGTCTATATGTCTCTGTATGTGTCTATATGTCTCTGTATGTGTCTATATGTCTCTGTATGTGTCTATATGTCTCTGTATGTGTCTATATGTCTCTGTATGTGTCTATATGTCTCTGTATGTGTCTATATGTCTCTGTATGTGTCTATATGTCTCTGTATGTGTCTATATGTCTCTGTATGTGTCTATATGTCTCTGTATGTGTCTATACGTCTCCGTATGTGTCTATACGTCTCCGTATGTGTCTATACGTCTCCGTATGTGTCTATACGTCTCTGTATGTGTCTATACGTCTCTGTATGTGTCTATACGTCTCTGTATGTGTCTATACGTCTCTGTATGTGTCTATATGTCTCTGTATGTACCTATACGTCTCTGTATGTGCCTATACGTCTCTGTATGTGCCTATACGTCTCTGTATGTGCCTATACGTCTCTGTATGTGTCTATACGTCTCTGTATGTGTCTATACGTCTCTGTATGTGTCTATACGTCTCTGTATGTGTCTATATGTCTCTGTATGTGCCTATACGTCTCTGTATGTGCCTATACGTCTCTGTATGTGCCTATACGTCTCTGTATGTGCCTATACGTCTCTGTATGTGTCTATACGTCTCTGTATGTGTCTATATGTCTCTGTATGTGTCTATATGTCTCTGTATGTGTCTATATGTCTCTGTATGTGTCTATACGTCTCTGTATGTGTCTATACGTCTCTGTATGTGTCTATACGTCTCTGTATGTGTCTATACGCCTCTGTATGTGTCTATACGCCTCTGTATGTGTCTATACGCCTCTGTATGTGTCTATACGTCTCTGTATGTGTCTATACGTCTCTGTATGTGTCTATACGTCTCTGTATGTGTCTATATGTCTCTGTATGTGTCTATATGTCTCTGTATGTGTCTATATGTCTCTGTATGTGTCTATATGTCTCTGTATGTGTCTATACGTCTCTGTATGTGTCTATACGTCTCTGTATGTGCCTATACGTCTCTGTATGTGCCTATACGTCTCTGTATGTGTCTATATGTCTCTGTATGTGTCTATATGTCTCTGTATGTGTCTATACGTCTCTGTATGTGTCTATATGTCTCTGTATGTGTCTATATGTCTCTGTATGTGTCTATATGTCTCTGTATGTGTCTATATGTCTCTGTATGTGTCTATACGTCTCTGTATGTGTCTATACGTCTCTGTATGTGTCTATATGTCTCTGTATGTGTCTATATGTCTCTGTATGTGTCTATATGTCTCTGTATGCCTATATATATATAAATATTCCATACGTGACATTGTACTGATTGCACATGATTTAATGAAATGGAGGAATATACTGTAAGTATTATGTGAGATAACGCCACAACATGATAATGAATGCATGAATAAATAAATGCATGAATAAATGAATAAATAAAATAATGAATGAATGAATGAAAACCATACATTTAACCACACAACCAACCATACAGTCAACGAATTGACTATCTAAGCAATCAATCACAAAATCAACCAACTATTAGCCCAGGTAAACAACCATTCACTCAATCAACAAACTATTAGCCCAGGTAAACAACCATTCACTCAATCAACCAACTATTAGCCCAGGTAAACAACCACTCACTCTATCAATACACTATTAGCCCAGGTAAACAACCATTCACTAAATCACCAACTAATAAACCTTGGCTTGACTTGGACTGCGCTTTGGCTTACTACTCATTGGCTTTAGCCACGGCTCACTCTCTGGATGTTACTGCTACACAACTTGCACTATTTTCACGTCTAGAGTTGACAACACAAACGCCGCTCAGCTTCTTGGTACATTCTGTCAGTTTATTCTTGTCCATTTATTTCACATGTTCAACACTATTCACACTTTATCACTCGCGACATATTCGAACATTAAACATTTGCGCAACATAAAGACGACATCTTCAAATACTACAACCGTCTTCTCTGACTTCTGATGATCGACTGACCACGAGTCTAGCTCGGGCTTTCCCTCGCTTCCTCGACTAGGCACAAGTATTTCGTGCTGTCCCTTGTTGCACGGACTTTCTGCTTGCCACTATGTAATCGTGGGGACCATGCAAAGCAGGGTCATTACATCCTCCCGCCTTTTAACAAAATGATACTTTATGGAACATCAAGTATCATTTTCCATTCAACTGTTAAATGAATCAATGGCACTAAAATCTAACTTCGCTATTCTGGATTAGTGTTCCTAATTAGACTAAATTACTGCCCTTATTTTAATTTTCTACTGTATGCTTTTTCTAGTACTAAACTGGTGAAGGGTATCTATCTTTGCACATATTGCATCTGTAGTATAGCTTCGTCACTATAGCTATTCTATCAGGTTCAAGTGAAATGATCACTGTGATGATGGTGATGATAATGGTCAACTTTGAGATATTTACTACAGGAATAATAAATCAATTTAAATGTATTACTGCTAGGAATTATAGTTCCTGACTATCCTTAATTACTGCCCTTTAAAACTGCTTTCAGTATTTACTGCATGCTTTCCCTGTACTGAGCTGGTGAAGAGTTTATACCATCTTTACACCTATTGCATCTGTAGTATTGTTTAGTCACTATATCTAATCTATCAGGTTCAAAGTGAAATAATGATAATGATGATGATTGTCAGCTTTGAGATATTTACTACATAGAAAATTGGATTCAACCAATATTTCTACATCACCTTTCACAGGGTATTAAACCCCAAGGACTCTTAGCCGATATGATAGTGGTAAGATATATTTAACATAGTGCTTCTAGTTTCCCAAAAGCCCCTATAACACCTTTTACAGGGTAATTACCCAACCCCAAGGAATCTACCACTGAAAAGAAAAAAAAAAAAAATGCATGTTGAGATATTTTTTCATAGACCAAAGTCTCACCTTTCACAGAGTAATTACCCAACTCCAAGGAATCCAACATGTAAACAATGATAATTGAGATATGTTTTTCATAGATCTTAGAGTTTCCTCCAAGTCTATAACCACCTTTAACAGAGTATTTAACCCCAAGGAATCTCTGATGAAATGATGACTATTGGGATGATTTTTAATAGAGTTTAGGGTTTCCCCCTCAGTCTCTACATCACCTTTAACAGAGTATGCAACTCCAAGGAATCCCACACACCTTTTCCCCCTTTAAATGGATACAGATGAGTTCAACTCCTCTACTGTGCTTGTGCTTTGATGTGTGCACTCTTTCTTTA